ATATGTATATGTATATGTATATGTATATGTGTGTGTGTGTGTATATATATATATATATGTATGTATGTATATGTATATGTATGTATGTATGTATATGCATCAAATTAGAAAGTGAGAATTTGTTAACTTGTATACCAGATGAAGAGCCTAAAAGCTACAAAACTGAGAATTTCTAGAAAATTTCAATTTTCATCCTTTAGTTACATAAGTGATAAGATAAGAAATATTTTTAAGATAAAAAGTTCTTAGATCACAAAGAGGGGAAAATGAGGTTCACTTGCTTTGGACGAGAATTCATTTTTCATATTAGCTCATCGCGTTATTTGATTTCACGAACAAAGAAAAAAACTTCTCCCACTCCACCAATTCTTCCTCTAACCTTAAATAATGAAATTCTGTAATAAAGATGTGGCATCAATTGTGTATAAAAACTGTATTGTCTAAAGTATTTTAAAATTACCTCTATACATGCAACTTTTTTGTTCTAGTATTAACAATGTACTAATTTAATAAATTTCCTTCCAAACAAATAAAGAAAAATGTTTTTGGGGAAAAAATTGTTCTTACCACACAATGAAAAATGTGGGAAACAATTTTTTTTGTGGAAATCAGTTTCTCTTACAAAACAATTTCCTTAACAAATATCCCCCTAAATATTCGTGATTTTAGAATCATCGATTATTTTGTACTATTAGGTTTACTTAATTCAGACGAGAATTTGGATAGACGTTATCAAACGAGCTAGGAGGTGCAGAGTGCTCACTTGTTCAACGATGTTACGAGTTCATAGTGGAGGTTCGAAGGTGGCAGCCCCTGGCGTGGTCCAAGAGACAGAGCTTGGCCGGGGTCATGGAAATTTATTATTTTGGACATTTTTGATTTATGAAAATCCTTCAGATTTAATGGAGGCCAAAACCTCAAAATTTTAGACTTTCGGATAAACGTCAAAATTGACCCAAAACTGAAAGTAATTCGCGTGAACGCTAGCGTCCTTATGCAAAGTTTGGTTCTATCCCCCGCCGCGCCAACATTTAAAATCTTATGCGAACAATCATGTCTGATTGATGGTTTTTCGTCTCTATAAATAGACTCACGGGTATGTTTGAGATGCTGAATTTCAAAATTTGTTCTTGATTAACAATATTTTCTCACAAGGACTCTCACACACAAACACCAAATGACCTAAAAGAAATACTCTCTTTGTCCTAAAATTAACTTTTTTATTTTGTAGTCAAAATTTTTTGAACTTTGATAGTATATTAAGAGTGAAAAATACATTAAATTTTCATACAAATTAAATATCAATAGTTTTATTTTGAAACATAGTTTTGAAATATTTTATTTTTAAAATATATGTTTATATAAATGATATAAGTGTTGCATTGAAGATCGTAAAAAGTCAAACGACGTTTAGGATGGGAGGAGTACTAAGGTATACCAAAACTCTCATTGAATGAATGAAAGTATAGAATTCTTCAAAGTTATCACCATTCTTCCAAATAGCCCAAACAAGCTTACATACATTTCAAAGAAAATCTTACCTTAGTAGAAAAACAACAGTAACATTATTCCCTCTCCTCAAGCTTCAAGAGTATGGAGACACTCTGCTATGTTCTTTCATGGCCCTAGACTCAGAAATGGTGTGATTGGTCGAATACTGCCAATGGGAGGAACCTGAAAATCTGCATCAGATTTATACATCCCAGGTTATTGACTTATTTGCTTATAAGCAGTTTTTAGCTTATAAACTATGTTAAAAATCCTTTCGTGCAGATAAAATGAACTAAATGATATATAAGTCATTTATGGATATTCATAATAGACGAGGGATGCTTTTGTAAATAATATGGTCAAAATGGAGAAACGAAAGCACGGGTTTAAATTGAACAAAACCTTAAACATTTTCATTCAAAATAAAACAAGCAAGATTAAGACTTTGCAATTATCACATTTTAGTACTCCCTTCGTCTGGATTTTTTTCTTCCCCTTACGAATTGTGGGCTTGTTGTGCCGTGCACGGCGGCGTCGGCGGGGCACTCTCTCTAAAGATGAAGAGAGTATAATCCGCTGGTACCTACGGCTCCGATCCCCCTCCTTCCGGCCTGAATAAAGGAACCAAACTTTGGGTGTACTCAAAGGAGAGATCACCAAGTCCAGGAACTTGAATCCTTCTAACCTGTTGGCTTGTAAGATTGTATGAGACAAGTTCAGATTCATCATGTCTTTCATGAACTTGATCATGTCCGACACCACCTCGAGTTGTACGTGTTCCCAGAACATGATCATGTCCCCAGAGCAAGGCGAAAGAATCAGAGTGAGGCTGAGGTCCAATCCTCAACTTTTTAGTCCAGCTACTCTCCACCCCACTTTCAGTCATTAAAATTTCTACCAAGTAAGTTGTGATAAAAATATTTTATTTTATCAAATTGGTCATGAAAAAATATACGTAAACAAAGATTATTGAAAACCAGAAATAGTAATTATGACAATAAATATGGGATGGACAGAGTATAATGCATGGCTAATATTAATATTAAAAAATAAGATGTATTAAAAATGAATATGAAACACGTAATTAAATATGGCACTAAATACAAAAGAAGGAAATAGTGAAAAAGTAAAAAGAGGACAAAAATAATTACTCCATCCATCCCTAAATATTTGTCACACTTGTACTCCCGAGGCAAAATATTATATTTTTTCAATTTATTTTATTTAAATATTGGTATAGAAATAAAAAATAAAGTTTATATATCAAAAAACTACACGAAAAGTTCTTCGAAATAAGAGTTGTCAAGAATATTTTATTTTATCAAATAACCACTGAAAACGTAGAAATAAACAAAAGTTTCTGCGACTGCTAAAAAAGCTAATGTTGCAAATATGTTGGGACGGATGAAGTATATGAGAAAATGTAATAAATTTAATAGAAATACATTGTCACTAGTCTCTAATACAATTTGAAGCAAGACAAATTCTTTTGTCATCCTTGAGTCCACTCTTGTTTTAAGGAGACTACCATCTAATTAATTATATAGCACCTTAAAACTGAGTTAAAAGCATTGAAAATGACAAGTAAAGCAATGGAATGCCGCGTGTTGACGTGACACATTTTAACCAATAAAAAATGATCTAGTCGGCGTGTGGCAAGTGAGCAGAGTGACATACTATACAATGTAAGTCATTATTGTTGTCAGTTTTTAAATGTATTTTAATTTTTTAAGTTAATTTCTTTATTATTTTTTATAAAAATAAATGCACTCCTATTTCAAAAAAAAATCTTCTTTCTTCTGCAAAAAAAATAAAAATAAAAAAATAAAAATGAAGAGGAAAGTGCCTCACGCCTCCTATGCTTTGCATGGTGGAACGGCAGCCCCACGCGGAAGGGGTGTGCAAGGGTTTGGAGGGCCACTGCACATGCTCTAAGGATTGCCGCCTCATTTAACCTGAAAACTGAAATGAAAACTTATACATCTATGATCTATCCCAGGTTTGATTATTTGGGTACGTTATTTGGAAGGAATATAATGTTCCATTCATGAGAACAAAGAGTTTAATATGTAAAGAACTATCATTGAGGTAAACAAAACAATGGATGCTTTGTATTTGCCTGGAGAAACTTTAAGAGAAAGAGGACCTACCTGGGATCACCATGGAACCTGGCCAACAATTGATGTAGAACTAATAAATAACATTCATTCGTATTTATTTCAAAAACCATATATTAAATCCTACAAAAGAAACTAATTGCGATTCAAATATATCATTTGTATGAATGATTAAATAAAGATGCCTAAGGAACAACTATATGTTTGTTGCATTGTTGCATCAATATTAATAGTAACATGGATCTATGGAAATAATGATGAGGAAGATAATAAAGGGATCAAACTTTGGGTATTTTTCACATCTTTTAAGTTGAAACATTTTCATTTAAAATAAAAAAAGCAAGATTAAGACTTTGCAATTATCACATTTGAATACTCCCTCCGTCGGGATTTGTTCTTCACCTTACGATGTGTCGTGCACGGCGGGGCACTCTCTCAGAAGATGACGATGGTAGAATCCGCTAGTAGCTACGGGCTCCCCCTCCCTCTGCCCTGAACATGAACAAAGGAACCAGACTTTGGGTGTACTCGTGGATACCAAACCAGAAACTACGTCTAGGAACTTGAATCTTCCTAACCTGTTGGCTGGTAATATTGTATGAGACAAGTTCAGTTTCAGGTCGTTTATAGTCTTGATCATGCCAGACACATTGAGTTCTACGTGTTCCAAGAACATGATCATGTCCCCACATCGAAAAGAAATAATAAATGTGGGGATGAGTTCCAATCGTAAAACTTTTAGTCCAACTACTCTCCACACCATATTCAGTCATAACCCAAACATCAAACTGGAAACGCTTTTCGCGATCGTGAACAACCAAAGCAAGTTTATCATGAGCCACAATGACATCACCTTTATACAAGTCAGAGCCAGTGGGAGGGCTCGGCATCGTCCCCATCATCTCTGTACTAAAATCAAAGAAGACAATGACCCAGAAGGTATCAGTAGAACCCATAAACCATTCCATGCTCAGCCAATGGTACCTGCCATTCAATAAAGTCCTAGTCTTTGCGCTATTAGGGGGACGAAAAACAGTGGGGGCTCTTGAATCACAGTGTTGTGTTCTTCTCCATGTATCATCGTTAGTGCTAAGATTGTACACCCCCCTTAATCAGAAACGGAGACCTCATGTCGCTATACTTCCAACCACTTAACCGAACAACCTTGTAATGCTTTGTGATCGGATCCATCCCTAATCCGAAGATTGGATTAAATTGCCCATCTAATTCATCATCCTGAGGCAGAACCCTCACTTCTCTTGTTGCAGGGTTCCACAATAGACTCGTCTTTTGATGGGTAGCATGGTGATTTGGAAAGCATCCTACCAGACAAAAAAATCCCATCACATTGGCCATAAACTGAGCAAACCATAAAACCTTCTTCGCGCAAAGGGAGCTCGATTTCCATAGCATCATCAACTGCAGGTTCTTCTTGACGTGATTTCCTGGAAATCAGGCAGGCGCCCTTTTCCCGACTCCCGAAGCAGTGCTCTCGGAAGATCATATGGGTGCGGGAATTGCAGGAGATTGATTTCGAGATCTGGAGATGTTTTGCAATGAAATCAGGGCTGGTGATCTGGGCGTGCCAAAATCTGGAGACGCATTTGAATCGGATGAGGGATTTGACGGGAAGCCGGAGCATCACCTCCCTAATCATGTCTTCCCCAAATTCACTGCTGCTGCCCGACAACGCCATGTTTGCTGATTAGGAGAGGAGATTGATAGACGACGACTCCCAGCGGCGACAGAGTCCCAGGGTGGGCTTTATATTGTAGTAATCACTTTAGGGTATTAGTTAGGGTTGTTCTCAATCGTCCACACTATTTTTTTTGAGTAATTTACCTAAATACGACTAAAACATAATGAATTTCCCAAAATAGGACCATATGTTTTTATTTCCGAATGTAGGATCTTTGGTCATTATTCTTTAGTCATTATTCAAGTAATGTCTATCATTGCTGGACATTATTCCTTCTACGAAGACATTAATAAGTCTTATTTAAGGAATAAAAAAGTTTAAGTCCTAGATTAGGAAAGTCATTATGTTTTAGTCCTATTTAGTGCAAATTTCACTTTCTTTTTTTATATTACCACATTTCATTCGTTTAAATTTTGATTGAGCTCTCTATAACACGTTTAAAATCTCGCGTTTTTTTAAAACTTATTTTATTTAGAAAATTTGTGTTGAAATTTATAATACAAATCATATAGTTAAAAATTATGTCAAAATTTTTAAAAATAAGAAATTATTTTACTAAGTCGAATAATAAATAAAAACACATTAGATAACAAAAGCTATAATAAATAACCTAGGATGGTTTTTAAACGTCGTCATTAACTCCAAAATGAAAACTCGATATTTTTATCACCAAAATTATAGTCTGCATTGCATTAATATTACACTTTATATTACATTTCACATTATTTTTTTTGGTGTTATATATTTAAATTATTGACATTGAAACTTTGCAATAAATACAGCAGCATTTATATTCCTCTCTTTTGTGCTTACATTTTGCCTTATCCATCCCTAAGTATAATTGATAATATCACTTTTGAAATATGTGCCACAAGCAATATATACTAGTCTCTGAACATTCTTTAGTAAATACTCCCTCCGTCCCAAAAAGTCTTTCATGTTTCATTTTTTGCGCATCACATAAAACACTTCTACCGACATTTAAAATGCCTAAAATAAATATAATATTTATTTGACCCAAAAATATGAATTATTTATAAACTCAACCTTTTTATTCAAAACTGGACTCATTGGGTAGATCTCAAAAAAAGGTGACCAACGGTATATAGTTTGACGGGTTTGGATTTACGGGTAAAATGTTATGTGCAAAATAAATGTTACAGTTCAAGAAATAAAAAAATTAGTTTAGGAATATATTATAACAAAAACTAATTTCCTAAATCTAATTCCATACCCCTAAACGTTATAGAAATAGGAAACCCAAACCCCTTCCTATATATATATCTATATATATATATATATATATATATATATATATATATATATATAGGGTGCGGTTCCAGTAAGAATGATGTTATGTGAAAGAAAAGAGGTTGGGATTAAAATATTCTTTGACAATTCAATAAGCATTAAAAAGGTAAGCAATTATTATAGTCCTTATATTTTGGAACCGTATGCTCAATATTAAATTTCCAAGGGCATAATTGTAATCTTAAATGTGATAGAAATTATGGACTCAACTCTTTTTATAATATCGTGCCTCCAAGTCTATTATAGAGTATCTTATATTATACTACCTCCGTCCCAAAAAGATTTACACGTTTTGACTAAAGTTGAAATTAAGGGAGAGATAATTTTGTGTTGACTTTCCAAAAATACCCTTAATGTGATGAGTAAAAGTATGATGTGATGTATAGATTATTAGGAAAAAGATATGATGTGATAGGTAGGGTTTGAAAAAGTAAGGGCTAAAAGTGGTTTTTTTTAATAGAAATGGGTAGGAGATTGTGGGACGCAATTTTTTTGAAAGGTGTAAATCTTTTTGGGACGGAGGGAGTATTATTAATTTTATTTCATTTAGTTATTTTAGTAGGCCTCTTCTTCAAAATGCATCTAATTTAGATATAATTGCAATATGATGGATGATATATGTGTTTTGTGTTCCTTATATTTTATTCAAATTTCATTGTATTAATTTGTAGATTAAAGATTATTGACTCTCCATTGACTTTGTATGTGATGTGAATGCCTTTGAATGCATTATATTTCATAAAAGTGAAATATAAATTTGATAAATGATCTGTCTACATGGGATTCGAACCCATATTTGTAGTACATACCGCTCTACAATTTGAGCTAAATAGCAGCTATTGATTTTTCAAAAAAACATCCATCTTGTACTTGGACCTATTAAACATAGATTCTAATATTTTAAAATTTACGTTATTCAACGTGTTTCAAACTAATATTCAAATGTATCACAAAACATTTTATCTGCATCATTGCTTGCAAAAAATTCCATTTAAGATTATATAAATGCATCATATTTATGTCATGAGAATTTCATCATATGATAGATCAATTTCATTTTGATCCTAAGAATGCACTTTAATAGAACATAGTATTCTTTACCATTATCTTATGATGCAATATTTAAAGCTCCAAAATGCATTACGTTTATCGTTAAAATGCAGAATAAAAAAAACTCATGCAGACTTTGTTCGTTAATCTTTAATAACAATGTAAAAATTTTTACAATGCACCTTGAAGTATTTGTGGTGCATAGAAAAGGTGTATAATATGCATTTAAAATATCCACACAGGTTTTGTTCATTATTGTAGCTTAAATGCGTCTGCAAGTTTATTGCGTTGAATAAGAACAAAAAATCAATTTGGTTTTTTGTGAATTTCAAATCAATCGGATAGGAGAACTTTTTCATGTCATTAGACACCACCAAAAGTTAGTTGGGAAAAAGTCTATGAAATTAAATCCTAATTTGCTCTTACCGTCGCTACCATAACAAGTTTGGAAAAACAAGAAAAATCCAATATGCATAAAATAAAATAGAGAGGCGCAAATCGTGGAAAACCTATATGGAAGTGATCGAGTAATTGTCAAATGGTGTGAAAGTACTATACTCACCCATTAGGTTGAGATCATATCATTAAAATTTGGAGATGCGATCATCTTAATCCAAAGGCCAAAATTCATTCTTATTTCTTTCATAAGATCTTATTCTCACTTGAACCAATATATATATATATATATATATATATATACATATACATATACATATACATATACATATACATATATATAGGGATTGACTCCAGTGAAATGACATGCTACGGTCAGATGACGCAAAGTTCACCACTGCCAACTGCAAAGTTCACCAATTACAACTACAAATCTCACCAAACTGTAAGGCAAAGCTCATCATATTTTTTCAACACTTTGAATTTTTTTTGAAAAAAACAAAATCAAAGGAAGCGGTGATGACTAGACTTTGACCGTTGACCGAGACCTTTGACTGCCGCCGGTCGCCGGAATCCGCTGCCGCTGACTGGTGGTTGACCGGTGTTGCTATTTTATTTTTATTAGTTTTTAATTTTCAAAATTTAAAAAAAGGTGATTTTTGGTGTTCAAAGTGGTGAGCTTTACTTTATTTCTAAGTGAGCTTTGCATTGTCCTTTGGTGAGCTGTGTAGTGTAGTGTGGTGAGCTTTGCGTCATCTTACCGAAGCATGTTATCTCACCATAAGGTGTCATCTCACTGGAGTCAATCCCACACACACACACATGCACATCTATGGAGTTCCCTGTCTTCAAATTGCTAGTGCCACACACCGTAGAAAGAAAAGAGATGCACGAGGGAATTGAAGCCGCTGGTCAGCCACCGTCGATCAATTGACATCGTCGCACCGCTGACGAGTTCACCATCGTTCTTGGTCGTTTGTTTGATTTGAAAATTAATTTAATTTATTTGATCTATCGAGGGGAGTACGTGGAAATCTAACATTAGATTACTCATATAGGTTTGAAATCAATGTTAGTAATCTTGTTTGATTGATTATGTGGAATTTGCTTATTGTTGGGAACATGGGTTCGTTGATTTTGGAGTATGCATAAATACGTGTGATTCCAATTATGGTAGTGTTATATATTGTTTGGAATCAATTTATGAACGTATCGGTGTTTAATGGAACACGTTTTGGGTGTCGTTTGTTGTTTCAAAGTCGAGCTCGTGCAGGAACAGAAACTCACCACGTCAAGCGGTAGGCCATACCATCAAGCCTAGTATCGTGCTACTGCCCCAAGCCATTTGAATTCATTATGTTTTTTGGGAAGGAATCCAAAGTTGTGTTTTCGATTAAGTATTTAAGCTTTCAGACCATTTACTCCAATCTGTGTTTTAAATAATATTTTGAATTAAATGTTTTAAATCGTTTTTAAATTTATTGTGTTTAGATGTCAATTCATAACAACCCGATTCATTGGTTCATGTACAATCCCAATATATTTAGATCACACAAGCTTTATTCTAAAGGGTCAAATTTTTGGTCCCAAGTCTCCCATTAGCCTTAGGCAAACAAATTTCCTCCCAATTCTATAGTTGTACTTCACATCTTGCTCTATAGTTAAATTAATTTGGGTAGAAACTATTTTTAATTATAACACTTTGCAACTCTGGGTAGATAAATTTGATTTTATTATTAACCTAACCATGTACTTCGAAGTTATTCATCTTTTCACCTTAACTGAGTTAAGTCTAATCTAGGGTCTACTCAGTATCCATTATTTTGGATTTCGCACTTTACCAATGTCGACCACGCATCCTGCTTTGGCATATCCGTTGACTGGTCGAAACTGGTAACAACGAGTGAGCAGGCGTCGGAAGGCACAAACTTAATGTTAAGAAGAATTTAAACGTGGTCTCACCTATGATATGTGCCGCGCACATTATCTAACGAATAACATTCAAACATTCATTCAAACATACATACAAACATGCATAATGAATAAATAAAATGTGATATGGTTGTTGCTCCTAAAGAAAACTAACTATAATGCATTCATCACTTGAGATCTCTATCTCCACCTCATCATCTTTTTCTTAGGGTATCTTCAAGCCTTCAACTCTAGCTCTTTTTATTACTTAGATCTTCATTGACTTCTTGTTTTTTACGTACTCAAAAAAAATTCAAGAGAAAAGAATCTTTACATTGTAGGCAAGAGGTATGAGGTTGAAGACGAGAATTACATCTAGAATATAAAGATAAGACACAACATGTAGCCCATATTAAAAAAACTTTAATACAAAGCCCAAATCATACATCACTCATCACATGCATACATAAACATACATTAGGCAAGGCGTGTTTGCCTCGACCTAGTTCATTCTAAAAAAACTAAGCTACCAACATAATAATTATCAAATCATTTAGTTAAGCTTATGTTTAAAACTCCATAAAATTCAGAATAACATTTTGAATTTTCCTAAAATACAATGAAATACAATTATGGCGGTTTCATTTATTTAATTAGATTACTTTTACACTAGCATACATTATAATTTTAATTAATTCAAGTTTAAATTTTATTGAATTTGACTCGAAAAATCACACTGAACAAATAATTGCATCACCCAAAATATATTCACATTGATGTAGGCTTTGTTTGGATAGTCTTCTCAAAAGGCTAGAGAGGCCACAATAGATTAGTTAACAAATGCGCATCAGATTAATCAAAAGAAAGAACACAATAAAAAAAAGTTACAACTAGTTAATCCTGCTCCTGATATCTGCTAATTAAGATTAATCGTCGAAAATTTAAAAAAAAAAAAGTGAACAAATAAGGAAGAAAACCCGTCTTCTTCTACAAATAAATTTCAATCTCAAAACCTCTGGATTTTATCGGGCTTGATCACAGGATTGGCCATGGCAATAGCATTCCGGCCTTTGCCCTTGAAATCGAAGGTGCAGTCATGCGTCTCGGGGTACCTGTGGGTCCCACAGAAGGTATAACCGCACCGGCAATCGAACCCCACCACCCCCACCTTCCTCTGACAGCTCCGACACCTGTTCTTCTGAGCGGAATCCGTCAATCCGGCCGCCCACTTGAAGATCGGCGTCGCCTCGGGTTTGACTCCCGGATCGGTGGCGGGCGTGGAGGAGTCTCTGCCGGAATCCGCCGCCCGGTAATTGAAGATCGGCGTCGAGACGAGCTTCTCCACCGCAGATCTGGCGCGGAGATCTCTGTAGCACCTGGAGCAGAGCCCGCCCGTCGCCGCCGTTCCGAAGAAACCGCATCCGTTCTGGCAAAGAGAAGGCGGCGGCGGCGGCGGCGCCTGGATGTCCATCTCGTTACCGTTCGATCCCATCATCTCGCGCGTTTGAAGAAAGAAGGATTTTTAGCTAAAGGCCTATAGAATTTGGTTTGGCCATTGAGAGAGACTTCTGGAGTATATATAGAGGCCACGGACAACTTTAATTAGTTAAGTAGTTTCTCTATTAAGAACTTTTTAGGAATAATTAGATTGGTTTATTAATCTTAATCATACTCGTGTTAGTACTCTACTACGGAGTAGTTTCTTTTCTTGGTCATTACTCCATTCTCCAAAAAAGTTGTTAGGGAGTTGTGGAGTACTTCCTATTTTGTTTTGTTTCCCATTTTTGTTTTTTCCATACTATCAAATTGAATGAATTTTAATCAACAATTATATTAAATATGCATTACATTAATAAAAAGAAATGATTTATAAAATAGATACTTTTTCTGTTCCTAAATGATTTACACATTTTATTATTCAAAAATCGTGAGACTTTTGTTTATTCGTGTGTTTTTATTGATAATTTAATTAAATAAAATATTTTTAACACCTCTTATTTCGTAGAACTTTTGATAAGGAGTATTTTTTTTAAATATGTAAATTTTAGTTTCTATTTATATACTAATTTTTAAATAAAATGATTTGAAAAAAACTTGATATTTTACTTTCAGCTCGTTTTACGTAGAGTAAATAATTCAAGGATGGAGAAAGTATAATGGAATCATTTTTGTATTAATGATGTTTAAACTTATTCCCTATTTTCCAATTAATCCTTCAAATTTTACTCTTTGGAGTTTAAGAAATGTGTTTTAGAAAAATATACCAATAGTTAAAATTTGATTAGAGGAAAGAAAAACATTGTGCACCATATATTTTTTTATTTTATTAAGAAGGTAATGAAGCAGGATAATTATTTTGGGATGAATTAAAAAACGAGAGGATTAATTATACTAATTAAATAAAAAAAGTCAAGCAGACGAATAGAACTGATGTCATAAAGTAGTCTTTATCATATCCAAAAAAGTAGAATAGTTATCTCAGATACCCCGACATACACATCCGACAAAATAATGAAACATTAAAATATAAGGTATGTATCACACAATCCTTTCTCATCAACTTAGCCTCATGTCAGTTTTTTAATTTCTCATCACTTCTACCCATTTAAGGTGTGTAGATCCCTTCCATGCCCTTTCTTTTCCTCTTTTTTTATGTTCTTTTTTTACATCTTTTTAAATTTAAACTACTTAAACTAAAAACATAAAATGAATATTTCATTGATATTACATTTAAAAGTACATGCAAAAAAGTAAAACTCATTAAAAAATTGTTCATCGTTAGGACTAAATTTAAATTTAAACAAAAAATTTAAAGGTACATAATTAAATAACATTTCATTGATTTTATTGGCTCTTAAACTTATTTTCCATTGAATTAACCAAAATAACCTAAAACTAACAACAATGGAAAAAGACTAATGTAACAGTAAAACATTGAAAAATATATCAGAATAGAAGTTTCATGTTTTTATTCTCTAAATAAGAGTTAAAATCATTTACATTATCATTCATGATTATCTACATTACGTAAAATTCACATATACAATATTATAACACCACAGTGTGGACTCATATTTAGGAAACAAAAATATAAAACTCTTACTTTGATACTTTTTATATGTTTTAATCGTATTTAGGGTGATTAAAAAGTAAACCAATTTAAAAGGAAAGAAAAAGAAAAGAACAAAATTTAGCAAGAGAAAAAAAAAAGAAGAAAAAAAAGAAAACCTATAGATGACGGGTTTGGGAATCCCGGGTCGGATTCCATCATGGTCACGGGTAGAGCTGGCAAATCGGTCGGTCAGGTTGGGTTCGGGTTCGGTCACTTCAAGTTCGGGTTATTTCGTGTTCGGGTTATTTCGGGTTCGGGTCGATCCAACGGGTTATGACTTTGGTTTTTTAAATTTTAAATTCACATTAACACTTACATTTTCTATTAAACAAATTTAAAATATCAAAAAAAGTATTAAATCTATAAAATTATTTTATTTTAAACTCTAAATCAATATAAGGAATCTAAAAATGCTTTAGTTTTGGAAAAAAATAAGATAACTATGCAATATCATTAAAATTTTGTCTGAAATATAAATTTATACACTAAAAATGAGTAAAAAAGTGTATAATTTTGAAAATTTCTTACTTTAGCAGATCGGTCAGGTCGGGTTCAAGTTCGGTCGGGTTTGACCCATTTTTAGCGGGTCATTTCGGGTTCGGTCAACTTCGGGTTCGGTCATCAAAACCTTTGTTCAAAACCCAATGTTTTCCGGTCGGGTTTCGGGTCAAAAACAGGTCGGACCATTTTTTGCCAGGTCTAGTCACGGGTAGTGACTAGTGAGTAGTGAGTCATGTGACTGGTGTCCCCAATCTCAGTCCAACATGATGACCGAGATACGATGCCGGCTCCCACAAACAAATCAAATATTTTAAATTTGGTTCGTGATTTGTATTCAAATATAATGATTTTAATTCGCATTATTCACATATAAATTCAAATTCAAATATTATTTTATAAATATATATACACATAGATCATGTTTTCAACATCAATAGTCAAGCAAACTAATATGGTATAAACTATATTTAAATTACTAAGAATTCAACAAATTAATATAACACAAAAATCTAAAACATATGATTTTTAACAGTTATATATTCTAGAATATAATTTGTGTAAGATGCAAATGTATTAATGTTTTTAGATGTGGAGTATAGTATAGTTTAAGAAATATAGTAAGTTAAATTACAAATCGATGTTGGTCGATCATATAAATTATAGAGTATGATTAATCAAATATTCGTTTTAGGATTCGTTAAATATTCAAATATTAATCAAATACATATTTAAATCTTATTTTGAACTCGTCTCAAATTTGAATTCGGATTCGTATTCAAAAAAAATTAAACAAATACAAATTCAAATATCTCGTTATATGCTTCGATTCGATTCGTTTACCACCACCCATAGTCTTATAATACTATGTCTCAAATTAAATTATAATTTTTTATTGATGAAACAAAATCTTGCATTTTCTAAAGAAAAAAAGATCAAAATAACAATAAAAGACATGTCATATTTCTAAAATAAGAGTTGAAACTTAAACTCCGCTAAATAGCAGTAATTAATTTAAAAAACTAAATCCAGACAACACGCTCCAAGCCTCTAAGTTTCAACCTTCAACAACTTTAGAAAAAAATATAAATTCAGGAATAACGGCTCACCTCTAAGTCCCAACCTTCGGCAGCCACTCTCGAATCCCTTGCCACCACTATCACCAGGGGCGGAGGAGGGGGGGGATGCCAGGGCAAGTGCCCCCCCGGGAAAATTCCCGCGAAATAGGAATATGGTACCCGCGGCGACGGGAGGCCGGATTTGCCCCCCAGATCCCAGACTCGCAGCGAAGAACTCCCAGCGGCAGACAGGTCCAGCGAAGAAGATGAACTTCTGCGGAAGAAAAAAATCACCAAAACGAAATGACGTCATTTTGGTGAATGGGTTTAAAAAAATTAATTTGACCCAGCCCAACAATGCACGGCCCAGTAGCCCAAATCTCCAAATGCCCAAAAAATTAAAAAGAAATGGAGGATGAGACTTGAGAAGTTGAGAGGATGAGGATTGAACAAAAAAACGGAAGACCACTGCTCCACATTCTAGAAGGGCTCCGCCACTGCCTGAAGGACCGAAACCAGAAGGGCGAAGGCTGAAGGCAGATTCAAGCTCTTTTTTGTGCTTCTTCATCTTCTCTCATTGTCTAGGTATTATATGTAAATTTTAATTTTTGAGATTTGTTTCTTAATATTTGAAGGTTTTGAATATTGCTAAATTAGGTTTTGAATTTTGAATATTTGTTTTGTTCCTTGGTCGTAGTGTGTTTGTTGATATTTCAATATTTGATAAATGTTAATGTA